GTGTTTTGGAAGCCGAAACCCGGCAAACAGCAGGCAGCGGAGTGGGGGGGGGGGGAGGGGGGAGGAGCAAATACAGTACTGTGTTAAATGTAAATTGCTAAAAAAAATGAAAGTTTTAAAAACAGATTTGAAAAGGTATCTGGCTGACTGGTCAGTTTGTAACTGAGTTTCTACTATACTACTTAAACTACACCATTTAGGAGAGAAGTTGGAGGAAGATTTCTCAGGATCCCACACAGGGATCTTCAAGCACTCCCATGCACAGTCTCAGTGAATGGTTCATGCAGGGATAAGAGTCTGCACTTGAGAATCTTTTTGCAGGATCTAAGTAGCTAGACAAAACAGTACTGTACATGCAGTTAGTGGAGAGTCCTCAGAGGACATAAATCCCAGAATGGTACAGAGCTGTGGTTTCCTCCCACTACCCTACACAAAAATCACTGTTAGTAAGAGTACAATGTTCCTGCTTCCACGAGAGATCTGAAGAATGAGAGGTTGTGGGCATGATGGATAAGTTCAGGGAGGATGTTACAGGTATAATTGCCATATATTCATGCATCATTTAATTCAATAGTTTACAAAATCATTTTGCATTGCTAGGGGGATAGTCTAGATTACCCAATAGGTATTTTCGGTCTCTAATTTCCATAATTCTAGGTTACATTTTCAAATAATTCCCCATAATAATGGCATCTTCTACTAGGCTTATGCAGTTTCTTGTTGCCTACTTATGGCATTCTAATTGCCAATTACAACTTCTTGTCATGCCATTATTTTTATTGGACACTCTGAGTACAGCAAAGCCATCAATAATTCCCTGTGTAAAAAGTCTGGTTTCCCCTTTGTTAGGGTAAACTTGTAACCATGGAAACACTCTAATGCCTCTGTAATCGTTGGAGCCCTTCAGAACATTCATCATCATCTTATCTTTGTGTTTTTAGCTTCCCTGGCCTTTCTTTCTGAATCACAGTTACCTGTTTTGAGGCTGGGTCTGCACCCTGCAGACTGAGTACGCTCTTATTTTAAGAGATGTTGGTGAGGATTCACACTGCTCTGAAGTGGTTCTATCCGAGTGGAAAACCATGAACTCTGAACATCCAGCTGCTTTAAAAATAAAATTATATCATACCACTGCCATTTTAATTAAAGAGAAATCACGCACTGCAAAATGGCTGTTAAGTGCTGGACGGGGGGGGGGCTAGATTCACAAAGGGGGATTTAGGTGCCTAACGTAAGATCCTGGGTTAGACCATGCAAACCCTGACACTTAACCCTGAAGGCACATAATTCCCTACCAGTCTGTGTTTTCACTGGCTAAGTCCCCTACATTTCTGCCGGTGGAGATGCACACAGCCACCAGTCCTGACACCACCGGGCAGTTTGGTGCTGAGCTCATGACTATGTCCTGCAGAATTTACAAAATAATCATTCCCTTATCTATCTCACTTGCAGGACACCATGCAGTAGATGTGCTGAGACTACCCTGAAACCCATCTATAAAACTAAAAACAAACAAACAAACAAAAAACAACACACAACACAGAGGTGAGGAAGGGATTACTGACCAGGAAACAGCAGGCCGACCGTAGCAGGTGACACAGGAATGAACAGGAAGAAAAAAGGGACAGAGAAGAGAAGCATGGAGGGCAAGAAGAGGGCATCAAAGAACCTGTGAGCAAATGGGGAAGGATAGGTGTGGATCCAGTGGCCAATTCGGAGAGGGGATGCTCCTTGTAAATTTCTTGAATTAGGCTATTGGTCTGTGGCTCTCATTAGAGCTTGAGGGAACCACAGTAATAAGCATGGAGTTTGCAAAGTTCACAGAGACTTCATTCACCCTCTGTAAAGGATGGGCTGCACCTGTGAACCTTGGAAATGCCAAAAGCAACACTTCCTTGATACTCTGCAGAAGGGAGTATGGCACTTGCAAAGTCTGCAAAATACTTACTAGAAATTCTAATGTATATGGAGATGTTATTTCTTTTCAGGGGAGATCCATGTATAAAATGCAGTTTTAAGTCAAGCTGTTAGTGAATTATGTAAAAAAAAATATTTTTTCAAAAATTCCACATCACTATTTTCTGTAAGACACCAATAAAAACATTTTGTTAATTAAACTATATCAAAATAATCTCATCTGGACTAAGTCTAAGCAATGTAAGTGTCATTGAAAACACACACACTTATTTATTTAGTGAAAGATGGGAGGAATGTCAAAATCAGGGTTACAATGGAAACAGCCTTGCAACCTAGAGCCTGCTCCTACAAAACTGAGGAAAAAGGCGCTGAGCACTTCCCAGGAAATGCTTAGCACCTGCTAGGAATGGTCTCTAAATTAATGAGTGGCTACCCTGGCTCCATGACAATTATTCTTTATTTAAACCATCTACTTCTGAATATAATATATGTGCCAAAGCAGACCACACATTACATTCTAATTGGATTGACAACATATTACACCATTATGTCGTAGTGAACTAGACAGGATTAGTACAAAACCTCAACACAAAAAGATCAACAGTATTGCAGGCTTTGCAGTTTTGTGCATGGAATCATTATTGCAATTCATCCATCCTTTCTTTCAACCCAGAAAAGCTGGTTATATGCTATTCTATTAACTAATTGGAGGTGTAAATTGAGAGAACTGCAAGAAACAGAAGTCTTACATGGGATTAAAATAAAATGCAGTCTCTGCAATTTGACAATAAGATTGGAACTCAGATTTGCCCCCTATCACTTGAATGCACTAGCAGTTACTATACCTCTACCTTGATATAATGGTGTCCTCGGGAACCAAAAAAATCTTACCGTGTTATAGGTGAAACCGCATTATATTGAACTTGCTTTGATCTACCGGAGTGCGCAGCCCCCTCCCCACATTATATCCAAATTTGTGTTACATCCGGTCGTGTTATATCAAGGTAGCGGTGTATATTACACATGCTTTCCTACCCACCAGCCTCACTGTAGCAGACTTGTGTTGCCTCAGATGGTGTAGTTGTTTATTATGAAATTTTAATTTATTGAGTCACATCACACCCTATTGATAACTCATTTTGTAATTAGACATGTAAGCAGCTTAGAACTGTTCTCATAACATGACTATTACTAAATGTTCAAACCCATTGTTAATCTCTGCTGATAGCTGGGAGCAGCAGATAAGTCAAAAGTGGACACTGGCTACAGGAAATAAACACTCTGTAAACACTCACATGCCTGGCCAAATATGTTTCTTATGGGTCTTTAACAGACCGGGCAAAAATTTTCAGACAAATAAGGTATTGCCAAAAATGCAGTTTTGGATCAACATAAGAATGGCCATATTGGGACAGACCAATGTTCCATCCAGCCAGTATCCTGTTTCTGACAGTGACCAGTGCCAGATGCATCAGAGTGAATGAACAAAACAGGGCAGTTATCAAATGATCCATACCCTGTTGTCCAGCCCCAGCTTCTGGCAGTTTAGAGATTTAGGGACACCCAGAGCATGACACTGCATCTCTGACCATCTTGGCTAATAGCCATTGATGGACCTATCCTCCATGAATTTACCCAATTCTTTTTTGAATCCAGTTATACTTTTTACCTTCACAGTATCCCATGGTACTTCCTTATGTTGGTTTAAAACCTGGTACCTATTAAATTTCATCAGGTGATCTCTAGTTCTTGCGTGATGTGAATGAGTAAAAGAGGACACTTCCTTTTCACTTTCTCTAGATCATATATGATTTTATAGACTTCTTCATATATCCCACATTAGAAAAAAAAAGATGACTAAACTGAACAACCCCAGTCTTTTCAATCTCTCCTCACATGAAAGTTGTTCTATCCCCTTAAATCATTGTTGTTGCCCTTCTCTGTACCTTTTCCAATTCCAATGCATCTTTTCAACCAAAATTTGCAAAAACAGGTTGAATTCTGTAATATCTTCAGCCAAAAAGATTAAAAAACACCCAAAAAAACACAAATTAAAAAGATTTCAGGTTGAACAAAAGGCATCTCATTTGATTCAAAGTGAAAGGTAATGTTTGACCCAAACAAATTCCCCCCCTGGTTTTTAGTTTCAGCAAGAATAACTGAAATACTTCCATTGTAGGTCAATCCAAATCTTTTTTCCCCAGTTCGGTCAACAAACTGATATATCAATTACTTTCTCAGCCCTAGTCTTCAGTTACCTTGTTTGATACTGAAATATCCTGTCATTTGTCCTAGAAGCTAACAAAAAAGTATTCCCAATATGCTGATGGCCGCTTGCTCAATACAGCATTGGATGATAAGTAAGGCATTACAATCCTTGTACACAATAGTAATGTTGGAGTACAGGGCACAATGAAAATAGTCCATTTTCATAAAACTTCTGCTTGTATTGGTGTAAAGCATTATATGCTCCTTAGCCTTTAGTCTCAGAGTTCTTTAGGTTCACATATGTTGTATCTATCAGTTCTGAAGCGTGCTATGCTGTGTTATAGGTATTGCTTTCTTTCTTATTTTGTTCAGATTTAAGCAGATATCATTGATCTCATATACAGCTGCACATAAAACCAAGTTATAATGGGGACAGCAGCAACAACAAAAAGACCATGGTGATAAACCAGCTTACTGTATCTGCAAATGGCCAATAGATTACAATAGCAAATCTTAATAGCAGAAATGTATCACAGTTCTACAATGTTACTTACAGTTTAGACATTTTTAAAACTGATAATTAGGCTAAGACTAGGATAAAATTCATTTAGTCTCATGCATCAGCACTCTACTAATCCCTGTAATTCTGCAACCTTCAATGAAAGAGACTCAAACAAACAATGAAAGGAACGGATACCTTGAAAAGAGAACATTCCAGCACAGAAATGTTGTAGTCAGCTTGTCAGATGCTGTATCATGTAATGAGTTACATGGCATGTGCTTATACCCTGGCAATGCTGCTCCTTCTGAGCAATCTGATCTGCATAGCAGCCTTTGCCAGTACTTGGGGCATTTACAATATGTATGTTGTATTCATGCACAATAAGAAAGCATAATCAGTGCACTGTACCATTTGTCTGGAGGCATCAGATTTTAGAGCTATCTGAGTCTGATTGGCTGGCTGCTGGGCTCACTGTACTTCTCTTGCCTTAACCTTAGGCTGTGTTCAATATGTTTCCCAGGGGATACATACAGAAAATTGGCTGTTAGGGGAACAATAGCAGGTTTAAAAAAAACAGCCAAACAAAAACAGCTATTCAATGGACAAGGCTAATATTTAGTTTTCCAAGGTTGTATGCATGTTAAACAAGGGCAAAACTAACAATGGATAACTTCACAATAGCGAACTTTGTGCTTACAGACTGAAAATACTATAAGCTGCATCTGCTTAACATTGCTGAAATGGTCAGGTGGTTTCCAGTTTTAAGGAGAGCTAGTATAATCAGCCTTAAATCAAAGCAGATGGGAATGACAGAATATATTAAGGAGGTTATTAAAAACCTTAGAGGATACAGTTAAATAAGGTTACCTAATCCATCTTACAAGGAAGGGTATTATGAATTGCATCACTTAAGCAAGAATAGCCCTCCTGGTATCTATTTTAGATTTTACAAGGCTGGGTAAATGAAACAAGCATAGAAAACTGGTAATGCTTTTTTGGAAACGTGAAATATTTAATCTCAGATTCAGGCAGTGAAACAACTGATGTATAATTATCTATATTAGTGAAGCGCAGCAAATGTTTGCATCTTAAAAAGTTATTTTATTTAACTCTATTCCTGGCTCTGCATCAGAGACCACAATGACATTTAAACTCTAGAAATGTTTTTCAATGTATATTCCTACCATCCCAAAGCAAAATATTAAGCTATACATTTTTTCACGAGTGCTTAAGTGACTTAAGAGCCTTAGCGTCACTGAAAAATCCTAAAAGACTGTCGAGTGTGTTTAAGTGACAAGTTCCATTTCCAAAAGTGAATTTCCCCCCAAAACATGGTCTCTGTCCTAGCAGAGATCATATGTGAACTGTACAAAAACCTTTATTTATGATACACAGGTCAAGTATCCTCTGAACTCCGCTATACTTCACTATCCTGAGTTGAAATGACCAGAAAAAGCAGCTCTACTCCCCCCCGCCCTTCCTCTATAAAAGGGATTCTGAAACTCTGTTATTCCAAATGACATTGCATCTTCTTAAATATAATTTAGGGTATTAGTTCACCAGGGAATTTTCCAGGAGGTACGATACATTATGCTGTGTTTTTTGAGCCATAACAGTTTCAAACAAAACACTTTCCTTAGTCGCCTCAGCTGAAGCTGCAGGCATGCCAAGAACAGCTACACACATTCTATCATCCACGAGGGTTCAAAAAGTTTAGGTGAAATTTAAAATTCACTACACTTCAGTAATTAAGGAGCCAGTAATAAAAATATATTACCATTTGCGTTCAACCAATTAGATTTTTTTTTAAAGAATTCAGTATTATAAGTTTATTTGGGAAAAATAGATTTTAAAGAAAAAAGTCTGATACTGCAGGGTATATAGTTGAAATATTGTTTCAGTTTTAGAATACTTCCTGCCAAAGCAAACATACAAAGTGGATGCACAGAGCATGTATCTCAGGTGCTACAGACATGGCATTTGGTCTTCTGTCAGATAGAATTTTTCAAGCACATACATTCACAAGAGCCATTTTCACCAAATAGAAGTGCAGTATTGGCTAAAATAAGAGGCAATTTTCATCTACACAACCCCACTGCTTTACATCATAGTGCAGAAAACAAAAATACTGGTGTGAGCATGCCACGTTTGTCACTTTCCATGAATCTAATGAGATGGTAATGTAGATGGAAAAACAGATTTTTTTTGCCATAGCTGTTCTCAAGATTCAATGCCTAGATCACAATGTCTGAATACTCTGTTTTTATTGATAGACAAGTTAATGCTATCACAGGCATCCCATACAGAAGCAATTATTTGGAAAATTTTAACAGAAAGACGTTATTTGTTGGGGGGGGAGGGGTGTTCGCTTTTGTTTTGTTTTTAAAACATGTCCCAAAAGGAAAAGAAACTACAGCCTCACGGAGGTTATTCCAGACACCCTTTGAGGTTATTTGGGGAAAAAACATTTACAAAATAAATCATACCAAAAAAAGTCAGTTTACTTGCCCAATCTTTTAGGGGAAAAAAACCTGAGCCACTTGTGATTTGAAGGTAGGAGATTATTTCCATAGCTTCCCCATCCACCCCATTTCCCATAAGGCGTTACCAGAATCCAGAACTATAGTTACCACAATAGACTACACTTCCCAGCCTGCTCTTCTTTCTGGGATCTCAAAATGACCATTGGTTAGCTACCAAGAGCCAGTCTTGGATTTGTAGTCCACCTGGTGCAAAGGAATGGGGCACCAGCATCAAGGTGGATAGAGCTATGGAGTGTGGGTCCTGGACCTTGACACATGCCTCTCTCCCCCTTTAAACACAGCTCTAGTGCTGAAGGAGTTGGGGAAAGGGAAGACTTGAAATTTGACATAAAATACTTCTCACTGAAGAGCAGTATCTGGGTATGTAAGGGTGAAAAAATTGCTTTGATCTATCAGATTTCACAGCCTTTGAAAATCATTTTGTAAGTGCAATGCTATTGATATACTCTTGTAACTCTATTTATGGGGAGTGTTCTGAGTGAAGGTTGAGTGGCACATAAGCACATTGCTGTACACAAGAGCAGAGTTAAACTCAGTACAGCTTGGGAGTAGTCAGGAAAAAATATGCTCCTCTTTTGCACCTGCTAAATTCTGGAGGCACCTGAGTACCATTAAATTCCCAGGGGCTGTAATAACTTACCCTGCTAGCAATGGACCCTTAGAGAGGCATCCACCAGCACAGAATAGGCATGGTGCAGTCCTCTGATCTTGCCCCTTGCACACACTACACAGACCAGAAGGATTCCTCCTAGGGTTGCCAGGCGTCTGCTTTTGACCGGAACACCTCGTTGAAAAGGGATCCTGGCGCCTCCGGTCAGCACAGCTGACCTGGCCACTAAAAGTCCAGTTGGACACAGCAGCCAGCTCATCCCACTGGCTCCTAGGCACAAGGGCAGCCAGGGGGACTCTGCATGCTACCCTTGCCTGTGGTGCAGACACTGCCTGAGCACCGGCTCCACAGCTCCCATTGGCTGTGAACCATGGGCCAAGGGGAGCTGTGGGGGTGGCACCTGCGAACAGGGCAGCACGCAGAGCCCCCTGGCTGTCCCTACACCTAGGAGTCAGAGGGACAGGCTGGGAGAGGGGCCTTTAGAAGTGGGCGGGTAAGCCCGCCCACCTCCCAGTCGATACCAATAGGACAGGCTGGCCACTTCTGGGAGCTGCCTAAGGTAAGTGCTGCCCAGAGCCCACACCCTTCAGCCCCCTCCCACACTCCTCTGCCCCCTCCTATACCCCAAAACCCTCATCTCCAGCCCCACCCCAGAGCCCGCATCCCCAACTGGAGCCCACACCCCAATCTCTTTCCCCAGCCTGGTGAAAATGAGGGAGGGTGGGTTGGGGAGAGCTAATGATGGAGGGAGGAGGATGAAGTTAGTGGGAGTCAGGGTATTGAATGGGCAGGACATGGCAAGGGTGTTTGGTTTTCGGCTAGCAGAAAGTTGGCAACCCTAGTTTCTCCCCTGAATGCTAGAGGGTCAGTATCTCCCATCACATCTTCTAATACATACAAAGGGCTTGATTTTCAGAGGTGCTAAAATAATGAGTGAGGGGGCCATGATAAGCTGCTAAAAATATAAGTTCTACAGGGCAGCGCCCCATTTTCCATTTAGGAAAGCTCTGCACTGCAGGATACATGAAGCCATATTCACCACACAAGATACTCCAGGGTGTCTACTGGGGAGGAATACCACCTTCTGGAGCTTACCAGAGAAAGCCCAAGAGCATGCATACACTGCCACACTCCAAGATCCTCCCTACCTGCTTGCAAGGATCTGGCTAGAGACATGATGCCACCTATTCTCCACCCTTCCTGCCCAGTACCCTTTGGGGCAACCCCTGGGGAGTAGCGACAGAGAACAAGCTCTGTGCTCCCCTAAGTGCTGGGCCTACAACTCTGCCTGGTCCTTATGTGGGCTGTGCAAAGGTAAGAGGCAGCTCCCTTTCTCCCCCACCGCCACATCGGGCCAGCTTTTTAAAAGAGCTTAGGGTTAGATTCTTAAGGGTTCAGCACCCGCTACTAGGGCCAGAGTTTCGAGAGCTCAGCTCAGCTCTCATTTAGGTACCTGATTAAGAGCTATATTTTCAAAATTGCTCAGCACCAAGAGTCCCCTTGGGAGCTGCTACAACTTGATTTTTCGAAAGAGCTCAGCATCCATTGTTGCCGTAAGACCCAGGAAGAATACAGCCCCATGCATTCCCACAGAAGCGCCAAGTACACTGGGTTCCTCAGGGTGACTAATAGTGGCAGGATCAGGCTCTAAGCAATGAACTGGACAGATGAAAGAATAGGGAAGAGGGAAAGACAGACAAAATTTACAAAAAATAAGCGTATTTACTAGCATTGCCAATCCCAATTATTCAAAATTCATGTCAGGCCCCACCAAAATCCATGAGATTGTGAAGCCTATCAAGTAGGGATTTGGTTTTTTTGGTTTTGGTTTTATTTTCCTTCTGTTTTCTGAGCTTTTATGATGCACTCAGGTTCACATTTTCAGGCTTTTCTCCACAACCATAAGGGCTAGAAACTTTGCTTTTAAAAAAAGAAGAAGAAGAAAAAGCTGAGTTTCTCAGGTATCGGGATTTCAGCAGCTGGAGATTTAAGAAAAAACTCCAGTTATGGTGAGATTCCATAAAATCTCCAGAGGTAGCGACACTGAATTGAGTTTAAGAATCGATTTGACACAGTGAATGTTGTAGTGCAGGATGGGGGGAGGGGAGCATCTATCCCTTTGTCAATGAGGGTGCGGGGGGGGAGGTGGCGGGGGACATACACACTCAGGTCATTTGAGAAGAGAGAAGCTGGGGCCAGCAGGCTGCTACTGAGGCTCTAATCCTGTGGTTGGAGCTGCACAGGTAGAAACCCATTAACTTTAAAGGGATTCTGCACAAGTCTAGAAGTCTGCCCCTGTCAAGCCAGACCGCTACTCCCAAGTCT